CTTCTTTCCTTCCTCTCTCCCTCCCTCCCTCCTCCTCCTCCCCCCCTCCCCTTCCATCCCCTCCCCTCGTCTTATTAATTACATTCTCTGAGGCAGGGAGATGCTCCTTGGTACACATGCAAAGACCTTGCTAGTTTGTTCCTGCTGTTCCCAGAAACAAAGTATCTCTTCTCAGAAAGGACTGCTGCAATCTAAGACTGCATTAGTCCAACTGCCTTCAGGCAGTAGAATGCTAAATGTTGTGGCTACCAAAAAAAAAAAAAAAAAGAAAAGAAAAATAATCAGGTAACAGGATTCTTAGGGTTTGTTAAAGTCTCCGTTTGCTGTTTAAGACAATAAAGACCTCTTCGTTAGGTTTTTAGGCAGTCACTTAAATTTCAATCCCTGAAAAGCTGCGGTTCTGGACATAAAAAGAGTACACTGCAAGAGAAATTTTGACTTCTAAGCATAGACTTCATTTTGATGTGGATTATTTCTTAGTATTCATTTAGTACCAGCTTATGCATTAGGTAGTCAGTGGCGTTATCACAGTCATCCAATTTTGTGTGTTTCAGATGACTTTTATTTTTAATTCTGAACTACAGATAAACACTAAGAGTATGGATTAAACCTTCTATTTAAGAAATGATTATATAGGTTTCCTCCAGTTGGAATTTGTCCCATTTAGTATTTGACTTAGTAGCAATAATTGATTTCCTTTGCCTTAAGTTCGGGTTTCTTTTTCAAGTTTTGCTACCCTTTGGCATGTTTCTTTTTTCTTTTTTTTTTTTTTTTTAAAGACACATTTATTCAGCGTCATGATCAGACTATTACATTTAGCAATCAACAGCATGGGTGCAAAAAAAAAATCTACATTAAAACCCTTTGTTGGAATGCTTTCCACTTTCCACAGAACAGAAACTAAAATAACCTGTTATACAATTAGTCACAAATACAGTCCTCGAGTTTTTTGCCCATACACATGAGTATTGTCTAAAACATGTCTTCTTCGTAGCAGCTAGGCCCTGCCACCACTGTGCTTGGCTGAGTTCACAAATCTGTTGCTAACCTGTAGCTTCCCTGTCACTTCTCTGGCTCTCCTCTCCTGCTAAGCTTTGTTTCCTGGCAGTAATTAAAACCTTCTGCCACTGCCATAGCTACTGCTGCTGCTGGAACCACCACAGCCACCTTGGTTTCGTGGTTTGGCAAAGTATTGGCCTCCACCACCATAGGGGCCAGAGCTTCTGCCTCCAAAATTTCCTTTCATGGGTCCAAAATTTGAGGATTGATTGTTGTAATTGCCAAAATCATTATAGCTTCCGCCACCTCCAAAGTTGCTTCCATCGTTACCAAATCCGTTATAGCCATCCCCACTGCCACCATATCCACCACCACCTCGACTGCCACCAAAGCCACCTCGACCACTGAAGTTCCCTCCATGACCAAAGTTGTCATTCCCACCAAAACCACCTCCACGACCACCACCAAAGTTTCCAGAACCACTTCGACCTCTTTGGCTGGATGAAGCACTAGCCATCTCTTGCTTAGATAGGGCTTTCCTTACTTCACAGTTGTGGCCATTCACAGTATGGTATTTTTGAATGACAATCTTGTCTACAAAGTCATGGTCATCAAATGTTACAAAAGCAAAACCTCTCTTTTTGCCACTGCCTCGGTCAGTCATGATCTCGATCACTTCAATTTTCCCATACTGTTCAAAATAATTTCTTAGGTGATGTTCTTCAGTGTCTTCTTTAATGCCACCAACAAAAATCTTTTTCACAGTTAAGTGGGCACCAGGTCTTTGAGAATCTTGAGACTGCCCTCCTTGGTTCCACAACTCTTCCATCCACCTTGTGTGGCCTTGCATTCATGGCTGCATCCACCTCCTCCACAGTGGCATACGTGACAAACCCAAAGCCTCTGGAGCGCTTGGTGTTTGGATCTCTCATTACCACACAGTCCATAAGCGTTCCCCATTGCTCAAAATGGCTCCTCAGACTCTCATCGGTTGTTTCGAAGCTCAAACCTCCGATGAAGAGCTTCTGCAGCTGTTCAGGCTCTTTGGGAGACTCTGACTTAAGACATGACAGCGGTGGGAGGGGAGACTTTAATGATGCTTACTCGGCAGCGTCCACGGGCAGAAAGGCCCCTTTGGCATGTTTCTTGCACAAAGAGCAAGTTGAGATCTTGTGATGTCTCTTTTTAGAACACCCGAGAAAAGGAGATTTACAAGTTCCCAGAGCCAAAAAAAAAAAAAAAAATCGTGCCCCCAAGTCTTTCCCACCAGAGGGAAGTTGTTGCAGTCCACGCTATCTTAAAAGAACTATAGTGCAGTTCCCATGTCTGCAAGTCACCAAAACTATTACTGAAGACAAGACCTTTGGGTGATACCAGTGGACCAGTTTCACAGCCATTGACTTACTTGAAATTGCTTTAAACTTAAATGAAAAACTACAAGAAAGATGTAGTTTAGAAAATAAGTGAGTTTATGGGCAGGCTGTACAATGTGTTGTTAGTAATCACCAAGGGTTTGGCACAAACACACCCTCGCTCCCTTTCTTCTGCTCCTGTCTTCTGCAGTTCTTCCAGTAGGCGTCACTATAATCACAGAACAGACATTCCACAGCATGGTATGTAACTTTATTTTTCTAGCATAATAATTTAAAGTATTTACACACCGCACACTCACTGTTTTACACAGATACTTATTCATATACCTATGAACCACATCTAAAAGTTTCTTTGCAAAGACTCTACACACTGGTAATTTCCAAGCATAACAAAGAGAGAAGGACAAAAAAAAAGTTCTGAGTCTTTTAAAGACAGCCATGTGGAGCATCTGTGAAAACCAGTGTTTTCCCCCAAGTTTTAAGCTCCCCCAGGAGACCTTTGAATAGTTAAGCCTATCCACATGTTGGTATAACCTGAATCTCTGTGGACTAAGGAGGATTTAAAGAACCAAAATGTACAAGTACTATTTTCTCTAGAAGTCCTAGAAAAGAAACGGAAAAATAACCTGGTCCTTCTCTAGAGAAGCATCTGTATTTGTCAATTATCTGTGGGGACTGTAAATGTGGTACAGGGACACTGATTGTAAAGGGACAATAGCCAAATACAATGGTACAAATACTAGTGCTACAGAACGCTTTTAAGTGGCCTTCCCAGCTCTATGATGCGGCCACACAGCCTAAGTGTCTTTCCCCAACTATTCCCTGAAAAGGACAAAGGTTCTATTAACCATATACACTCTAAAGCCAGATACTGTAGAAATTTCTACTGCTTTTACTTCACTTTTATACTGTTTGCACAAGAATAGTGGTTATAAGTACTCTATTTTTCCTCCTTTGTTCTACTCAATTACATAACGAAGTTACTAGCTAACTCTAGCTTCTGAACCTGGCACACGGTTCCATAGGTGAACAAAAACAGCCCCAGTTCAGAGCCGATGGCAGGTAGGCTCCAGTCCAGTTTTTATAAAAAGTTAACCGGTATAGGTTTCAATTCTCTGGTGTTGCATCTTTGTCAAGTAAGCGGCAGGATGCCTTTGTGATCTTCCCAGACTTGCCATGATGATTCTGTCACACACCAGAAAACAAGAGGAGGGTTGCCACCTGTAGACGAACCCACAGCTCCATCCTGTGATCGGATGATAGCTCAGTTCACTGAGAAATAGAATTTCACAAAACGAAATCCTTTTTTCCTGCCAGTTGGGGCCTCTGGCAGTAAGCCTAATCAATGGGACATGGCAAAAGGCAGAAATTACCTGGCCATCTAAAACTGAGCACAGTCTGGATCCAAATTGCTGGGGTATTTAAAGTTCATTGACTTTTCCTTGCACTTAGGTAAGGTACAAATTGTATCCTTTCTCCTTGGTACCAAACATTTACATAGATACAAGAGAAATTTACCTACCCTAGAACTCACTTCCTCATGGTGCTTGCATTTTGTTGGTGGTGCTTTCCTTTTGCAAGGGGATGCAACAGTGAAAGGGATGAGGCAAGGAGAGACTTTAGAGGAATTTTACCAGTTATATAAGCAACTGACAAAATAATACTCACTACAGATGGTAAGAGGGAGAGCGTCTGATGAAAGAAAGAGACCACCTGGGGAACAACATTGCTTAGTGAGAATGTCTGGATTAACCAGCACCCAATTAGTCGCATAGTGGGTTGGGCCAGGAATGCGTTCCTGTCGTCTAACACCCTATTCATTCCATCATGCATACAGATACATCGGCGACTGAGGAAGACCATGGTGTGGAGGGCAAGGAAGAGTGGCACATTTTGTGACAGGAACTGGGCCTTGATATGAAGCAAGAATCCAACAAACCCTAATCTCTGGGTTCATAAAGTGAGATTAAGGCGGGTTTACGGGGGGGGGGGCGTAGAGACAGGGAACAGTGTGTTTCTGAGCGCCAGCAGCCAAGGACTAGAAGGCTAAGAATAAGAACTTGGGCTTGCACAATTAGAAGAGCAACGTGTGATAGTCTCAACAGGGACATGGGATGAAGGCAAGTCTGAGAGCTCCTCGGGTCTAGCAACACGCCTGGTCTTTATCTATGAAATTGCCACCTCTAGACCCTTCTGACCGATCAAAACAGCAGTTTTGTCTGGCTCAACCCCATATACGGTTAAGTGCTCAGATAAAACGATCCTAGTTCATAAAGCTGTGGTAATATTCTCCCTGCCCTCTGACAAAGTGACAGCTGTGGAGGAGGAGGGTGAGGGTGCCTTCGAGACGCATTGTTTCACAAGAGCCCAAGCACCTGTCAGGGGGGAGTTCGCGGTCCGTCCACCTCGAGTGAGGGCAGGAGGCGGCTAAGGACACCCCCTGCCTCACAGGAAGGATGCAGCTGCCCCCAGAAGGCGGCGAGTGAAAGCTGTGCCCCTGGGGTGGCAGATCAGTAGCCAGGGGCCAAGGCAGGATCGAGCGGCCAGGAACAGCTCCACACACCGTCCCTGGTCCTCGTCGAAGGGAGTGCTGCATCTGGTGTCTGGGTATATGTACTATACGTACTGACCAGGTACACACATAAATATTTAATATATAAAAAATAAAGTGCTTTCTAACAGGTCCCCAGGCAGGGACGTTATAAAATATTTCACAAAACGGCAAAACAAAAATCCATACAAAGAACACTACATCCAACATCCACGAAGACAGTCGAACACAATATGTACACTCTGGTGGGGGTCCCCGGACACACACCCTGTCATATACATGGTGTGTGTGTGTATATATATATATATATACACACACACACTCTCTTACTCAATATATTATGACAATATATATTTTAAAATTCTGTTATAGACAAGAAATAAAAAAAACACAAGACGCCCCCTACAAAAACACAACGAGGATCAAGCATGGGAGTCCGAGAGCGACAGCCCCGGGGCTGCCTCCGTGGGGCACCCCCCGGCTGCCGCTGGGGAAAATGTGCCAGCGCTCGCGGCGCGGGTGCAGAGCCTCCACGTCCCCCAAGGCACTGTGCGCAGCGGCTGTGAAGTTGGCGTCCCCAGTGGTGAGCAGGTCGAAGACGCAGGACTGGAAATAGATGTCCTTCACGGGCATCCTCTCGTGGCACTGAGCACTGGCAGCCTCCAGGGTGTAGCCCGGCCAGGCTGGTGCCAGAGAGGTGCGAGGCGCGCTGGGCCCCAGGATGGCAGACACCTGGCCCTGCCCGTCATCGATGCGCTCGCTCAGGGGGCAGCCGTTGACACACAGCTGCAAGTCCTGGCTTTCCTCGTAGGACATGGCCAGGGCCTCGGGCATGCGGATGGCGAGCGTCAGGTAGCGGCCCAGCTGCCGCACGAACACCGTGGTCCCGATGTAGCGGGCGTGCATCTCCACAGAGCGGCCACTCTCCCTCTCCACGATCAGCAGGCTCCTGGGGTCGCCAGCCCCGCCGCTGGTGCTGCCATCCACAAAGGCCGCTGGCAGGTCATCGGTCACAGCTTGGTACACTTTCTGCTCTGTACACTCCCGGTGAGCTTTGAAGATGATGGTTATCTGCAGGCAGGGACACACACAAATTTAAGCAGGCGGGCAGGGACACAGCTGGTGCTCCCCTCCGGTCTGGAGCCCAACGGCTGGAGACCATCACTAACCTCAGCCCACAGGTCTGGCCTCACCAATGAAAGGTGTCCCTGTTAAGGAAAAAGAAAAAATCCTCTAGGTTTAGAATAAAAATTTGCTGCAAATCTAGGGAATGTACATCAAGAAAAATTCTCTTTCCTAAAACAGAACTATGTATGCTGTTGGGGTACAGGTAACCTTTACTGATAGTCTGGTGTCTTGTCTTCTTCCCCGGAGAGACGAGTGGTGGTACAGCTCCGAGAGAAAAAGACTCCCAAGTCATGTAGAAACGTTAGGGCGTAATTAATAATATACCCATCGGAACTTTGATTTCTAAAAAGATTCTTCATCTACAAACATTCTGACAAACGCTGGGGAGCGAAGCAGAGTCGAGGAGGGGGCCATCCCTCCCAAAGCCACCAATCACGTGCCTCAGCCAAGATTTCTCTAAGTCTCTTCATCAAATGTCTCACATGACTGGCTAATCCCTGCGACTGGGAAATCACTTGGCAAATACAGCTCCCAGGCACTGGCAGAGAATAAATACCCTCAACCTAGTTACAGCAAATGTTTTCCCCAAACAGCACCACGGCCCTTGAACTTCTCAAGTTTTTTTTTTTTTTCTCGAGCCAACTCTCAATTCTCCAAATTAAGCAGAAAAAACTGATACTACAGAAGCTTTCCTTGAGTAAACCCATTTTCCTTCCTTATTTAGAACAATTAGAAGACACCAAACCTTCCCCTCCGACATACTCCACACCCTCTGGTACGCGTGGTGCAAGGGAAGAGGGCTATGCAGACAGACGGGGCCTTCTGGGTCACACAAGGTGGGAAGAAAGACAACATTTTGAGATTGGGGTTACTGTCAGGACCTGAGGTGATGGCTTATTTTTCTTTCTTCTTAAAGAAAAAAAAAAGTCTCAGTCAAGGAAGAAGGCAGGCAGGCCACTCTACAAACTTCCCTGGATAGAGGAAACCTCCTACCTCCTTCAAGGGAACGGGTCCAAACAACAGACCCGTGTTACAAAGGCCAGAAAATGCCCTGCCTGTCCCCTCCCCACCCCACTCTACAAGTCCTCACCACCACCCTCAAGCTTATGTCTGTAGTTTTTTTTCCTCAACCAGGCCAGCATTTACTCACACTATTTAACTCCACATGTTCCCACTGGTGTTACTTGACTGGAATTTTCCAGCCATTTCATTTTACTTCAGCCAGTTATAAAGCTAGATCTGAACCAGCTGCACGGGAGCAACTGGTTTAGTTCATATCCGTTGTTTGCAGCTGCAACTAAAAGCCAGACAATGTACCATGAAAATGCTGGGTTTTCGCCCTTCCTAATTACCCTGACCCACAATTTCATTTCACTACCAGCCGTCTCGCATTTCAACACCTTCTTAACAACCCAAAGGAGGTGGACCAGAGATGACTGCAGGAAATTTGTTGTGCATCCAACCATAGGACCTTCCAGAGTGAATGGGATTTTGAGCGAGATATCTAATGGGACTATAAAATAGATTTATTTGGTGGCTCTAAACACAGTTTGACACGTGCTTTTTTTTTAGGGCAAGCTAGGATCCCTTGGAAGTGAAAAGATTAATTCAAGTAAATTCTGCACCTGAAAGACTTGAAAGCGAACACAGATGGCTCCAACAAGGGCGAGTAAGACTTCTCATATAATCGTCCTCATTTTCAACTGGGGCATTCACACTCAAAGACTGTCTTTCTAGCCTAACCAACCTCAAATTTAAACTAAATTCACACTACTTGCAAGAATTAAGTACTTTTTTGTTCATCTTAGGAAAAACAAAGAGGAATTAGTTTTGTTGAGACAACAGATCCGATTCCAAACAAGTTCCCAAACGGAGCAAGGGTCGATATGAACACGAGTGGAATAGCTCCACGTGCCTTACCAAGCCTAGTGCTTTCACGAAGCACACCAATTCCAACTCAGGAGTCATTTCAAACACCTCATGCATTACTGTCCTCTGCTAGGCCTGTAACCACTAACACTAACTCCCATCCCTCTAGAAGATCGAATAGCACTCAAAGCTTGAGTTCTGCACCAGGATCTACACCGAACCAAGATCCCAGTTTACTTAACAGATTTTTGTCCAGTTTTCTAGGAGTCATTTTCTCTATGAGACAGTGAAGCTGGTATTTCTTTTTGTCTCTCTTCTGGGTGAAAATTCTCACGCACAGCAAATAAATGTACAGAATTAGCCCTTGCATCAAAATACTGAGGGTGAGGATGAATCAATCTCAAACCAGAGAGGGGTTTCCTGAGTGGTCCTCTGTAGTTTTGAGTATGTAGTGAAGAGGTATCTAGGGATACAATGTAGGTAGAGAAAACACTAGGCAACAGTTGTACCTGACTTACCATTCAGTAATGTTAATTTCATTCCTCATACAATTACAACTCAAGCTCTTAAAAAAAGGCATTCCGCCTCAGCCAGATAGGGCCAGAAATTCATTTTCAGAAAAACAAAATTTGTTCATTCTTATTAAGTCTTAAAAAAATCAAAACTTAGAATTTTTGGAAATTCTAAATGTTTTCTCTTTATGCTCTGATAGCAAAAGAGGATATTCAAAACTGTATTTTAATGCTTTCAAACTGATAATTTAAAAACACCAGCCATGCTGTTTACTTTCCCCTTCCATGAACTGATCCGTATGCTGTAATAACTCAATTTGGCACATCTATTCTATGCCACACCATTTATTATTGATGGATGCCATTTCTGTGCATTTAAAACATCAATGCCTTTTGTTAAACCTTTCCCACCAAGTCCCTCTCAACCCCTACCTCAGACAAACTACTCTAGTTCTCCTCATTCATTTTTAATGTTTCACTCCCTGAGATCTTTACCACCCACAAGGTCTATTAGGAAGACAGAGCAGCTACAAATCAATCTTTCCACATGTGATAGAAGGATTTAAATTCGCTGTGAAAAATAAAAGTTTAGACGCACCTGCCTCTCCTTTCCACCATGCAAAGAAAATGCATTAAAAAAGAAAACGAGGTAGCCAAGGAAGGAAAACCAAGGCACTGCTTTGCCAAGAGACAGATGCAGCTTCCCTAGGCTCGACAGCTTTGCAAAAGTGCTGGGCGTAGGTTTTCAAACAGCAGAATTCCCCGAAGGCTGTACGCTTAACTACTTGTGCTTCTTGTATTTTGGAAGAAACAATTATCAGGGTTCAGTCAGGCTATTTGGCGCTGCATGTGCAGGACCTCCCCAGGGTTGACAGGAACCTGAGGATTCACCAGAATCCTCAAATTCCAGAACTGGACTCCCAGATCAAGGGACTCTTAGCTCTTGGATTAAAATGGGCCAACAAAAGCAAGCTGAAATAGTCACAGAAATTAGGTTGGAACAGAGAGAAACACAATTTTGATAAGTACCTGGTTAAAATTCTGCTTGTGGTAAAGGAAGCTAAAACGAATTCTATTTCATGTAATTAGGTGACATGTCTACTGCATCAGATCCTCTGGGTGCAGTTATAGGTTGGAAAAAAACAGGCACCTCTGGGAGGCTGCGAGAATACTGCTCATAGCCCCTTTTACTCTTACACAGGTCAGTGGCATCCAGCCTCTACAGTAAGTCCCCAAGTGTGAGCAAAAATCAACCACTCCAGTAAGGCTACATGCTTCAAAGGAAAAAATTCACATGCTCTATCGCTAGGTCTAGACTATCTCGTCTTTACTTCTGATGGTCAATTTTCTCTCATATCAGGAATAAAATAAAGATGTCTACTTTTGCCACAGCAATCAGACAAGAAAAAGGAATCATTCCAAATTGGTAATGAATAGGTACAACTGTCACTATTTGCAGATGACACTGATACGACTTCACCAAAAACCCTATTAGAATAAATCAGTAAAGTTACAGGATACAAAATTAATATACAGAGATCTGTTGCCTTTTTATACACTAAGAAGCTATTAAAGAGTAATTAAGAAAACTATCCCATTTATAATAGCACCAAAATGAATAAAATACCTAGGAATACATTTAACCGACTAGGTGACACACCTCTACTCTGAAAACTATAAAACAATGATGAAAGAAATTTAAGACACAAATAAATAAATAGATGTACAAATACTGAAGATATACCATGCTCATGGCCTGGAAGAATACTGTTAAACTGTCCACACTACCCAAAGCAATCTACAAATTAAATGCAATCTCCATCAAAATACCAACAGCATTTTTCACAGAACTACAACAAATAATCCTGAAGTTTGTATGAAATCACCAAAGACCCTGGATAGCTAAAGCAATCTTAAGAAGAACAAAGCTGAAGGCATCACAATCCCTGATTTCAAGCTATAGTACAAAGGTGAAGTAATCAAAACAGTACAGTGCTGGTACAAAAACAGACACACAGATAAATAGAACAGAATAGACAGCCCGGAAAGAAACTCATGCTTATATGGTCCATTAATCTATGACAAAAAGAGAACAAGAACATACAATGGAGAAAAGAGTCTCTCCAATAAATGGTGTTGGGAAAAGCAGACCACTTTCTTACACCATAAATATAAAATCAAAATGGATTAAAGACCTAAATGTGAGACTGGAAACCATAAAACTCTTAGAAGAAAACGTAGGCAGGAATCTCTTGAATATTGGACTTAACATTTTTCTCCATATGTCTCCTCAGGCAAGGAAAACAAAAGCAAAAATAAACTACTGGGACTACATCAAACTAAAAAGGTTTTACATAGTGAAGGAAACCAACAAACAAAAAGGCAATCTACTGAATGGGAGAAGATATTTGCAAATGATGTACCTGGTAATAGAATTATTTTCAAAATATATAAAAGACACCAAAATAAATCCAGTTTAAAAATGGGCAGAGGAAAGTTTTTAAAAATACAGATTCAAAGGGGGTACATGCACCCCGATGTTTACAGCAGCATATCAACAAC